TCTCTCTCTCTAAAATTTCAGCAATAATACCGTGTGTATCTTTCTAAATTATGAGGAGTTTTGACTCTCCCTCTCTAAAAATTCAGCAGCACAAACAAATTAGGGGGTCATTAATTTTCGTTGCAAAGCATGGATCTACTTGCTAGCTAAGAAATTTTCTATTAAAGGTGAGTGAGGCGCACAACAGGATACAAGAGAATAAATAAATAAATAAATGATGCAGGATCTCTTGATATTGAGCAAATATAGTAGGTCAAAACAGCAATCAACAGTGGTTCAATCTTATTAAGAAGAGCAGTATTCTAAGTGCAAGATGGCAAATAAAGAATATCTTAGAGAGAGAGAAAAAGCATTGCAATTAGGGTAGAGAACAAAAAATTATAAACTTTTTCTTCTATAAAAAGGGCTTTTATTTGCTAAGAGAGAGGGAGAGAGCAACTGTTTTGGAACTTACGTATTAAGGTTAAATGGATAAGCACTAATATTTTGCAAGAGATAACTAAATTGTTCTTCCAAAGAAGTAGATAAGCGCTAAGTTTTGCAATGGGTAGAAGCATGACTAACACTTGCCAAGATAAATATACTAACAATATGCATGGATAGAAGATATGCTTCTCACAAAGTTTTATAAGAGATAAATCTATGCGGGAGATGGACGCTCCGTAGCTGATGATGGTTTAACAAAAAGAAAACACTAAAACCATATTTCAGTGAAATTCAAAAGATTTCTATAAAATTTTCAATGAATAAAGTTGCACTGTCAACAAATAGTCTCGTTGAGCCATCAACAGTGCCTTCTATTGAAAGAGTTCGCCTAAAAAATAAACAAATAAATTGGTTACAAAGTAGCAAGCTGAAAAAAAAAGTCTAACATTAAAAAAAAAAAATGTTACCTTAATGACGAGCAAGAAAGAAAAAAAAATATTCGTGATTTGATTATCTCTTTTTTCGCATAATTGGGTTGCAAAGTTAGATATAAAAAAAGGATAATCGATGAGCACGAATTAAATATGAAACTAATATAAAGAAGACAAGGATGATATAAAAATAAATAAATAAATAAATAAATAAATAATGGAACATGAGTGAAAGGATAAAAAATAATAATTAAACAAATATAAATAATGAAACCTGCTCTTATACCAATGTTGAACTTTTGATGGGAAATGATAAAATACCAAATCTCCCAGGATTACTGGGAGTGTTGCGAGATTAGAGGTCGCATAGATAAGGCCCTTTCCCAGAACAATGAGAATTCAAAATTGATTCTCTGGTCTACCTCCCTATGACCATGAATTATTAGTTTTCTATATTAGCAAGATAGGTACGTCGAATAATAAGAAGAACTCTCTATGGCCATGAAACCTTTCTTAAAGAGGGATGAGAGGAGGTCTGTCTAAAGAGGCATGGGAGGAGGTCGATCTCCTACATTCGGCTTTTTTCCTAAAATATGTGAAAAACGATCTCTTAAAATATGTGAAAAACGTTGGGAGATCGTTCTCCAACGAACTCTCCATGGCCATGAAACCCTTCTTAAAGAAGGATGGGAGGAGGTAGTTCTCCAACGTTTTGATGTTCCTCCTAAAATATTTGAGAAACGTGACCTGTAATCGTGGGAGATGGGTGGTTATTTTCTACCCTGAGAGATGGGTGGTTATTTTCTACCCGTTAGATAATGGAACTTTCTCTCTAAGAAGCCTCCCTATTTTAGTGATAAGCATAGACGTTTGGATAAGATAAGGAGAGAAATATTTGAGGGCCCTCACACCCTCTTTCCTAAAATCTCTCTCCCTCCTCTCTCTAACTTTCTCTCTCTGCAAGCAGCTCTCTCCCTCTTTCTAACTCTCTCTCTTCACGCATCAAATCTCTTTCTCTCTCTCCACACATCAAATCTCATACTTTTTTAAATAAATAAGCATTATTTTCCTCTTCTTAATTATATGCTATTTTTTTTTCTAAAATATATCTTCCTGTTAAAATGTTTCACCCACTCTTTCCCTCTTATTTATATGATCGTTTTAAATTTCTCTTCTTTCTCTACGATTTTCTCTAATTCTCTCCCTTAATGATTTCTCATTTTCTAGTCTCTCTCTATTGGTTTCTTATTCTCTATTTCATTGTTGGTAAAAAACCTTTTTGGTTGCTATCTTGGATCCTATGTTCCAATGGTGATGAATCGAAAACCATCAATTTGATTGAGGCCCACCCATCCAAATTGGACTTGATACTGGGTAATGCAACTTATATTGCATAAATTTTTTGTTCTTTGTTAATGTTAAATATTTTTGCCTACTCAAGAATTTTTTATGTTAGTCTTCTATAAGTTGCAAGTATTTAATATTTAGGCTATGTTCCATAATATTTCATATAATTAGATCTTTGTGAGCTTTCTAGTTGTATCTAATGCCCTGAAATTTTGTCTTAAATGGTTTCTTTACTAGATCTCAAACGTAGGCAACTACTTTTCTTCTTCTTTATATGATTGTGTGAAACAAATGGTGGTTATATTACCAGATCTTGTCAAAGTGTCAAGGACTTTGAGTCCTGAATGATGATGGCCTTCTCTTAGAGAGAGAGTTGCTCTCTCTCTAACTCTTGTGGTTTAAAATTCCAACTGTGTAGGATTCGAATTTAGAAAATCAGTGTATCGCAACATACATAGTAGGTTTGTTGTGGTCAAAAAAACAAGTGGAAACCCTCACGGACCACGCATCGTCCGTTGCGGCTCCATTCAATAATCCGCCGCGAAAATGATCCTTTGAAGACTCTAGATTCAGATCAGTACTTTTTAAAACACTTACTCTGACGAATGTTTTCTTGAAAGTCCATATGTGTGGCTAAAGCAATTTGAAAACGAGCATAACCGAGTGAGAAATATGGAAAATTGTTTCATGCTGGCTGGACCTCATCTCTACAATATGCGGTCCCAAAGTATAAAACATTTATCTTTAAGATGAATGCAAATAGGTGGCCTATTTAAAAACAATTGAAACTAACGGTCCAAATGTTTTCTTAATAGGATTATTATTTTTAATAGGATTATTATTCCATGTTAGAGATTACATGTCCTCAAAAACTAAGTCCATCGCAAAAATAGATTTTTAAGAGGTGACACATTTATGTTCAACTAGCATAGATAAATGAGAAATGTTTCTATGCTTCCCCTACAACATAGAAGTTCTATTATATTAAATATGATAGTGATCATTTTCATCTCCTATAAGCTCCTCTCAATTTCATAGTTTATTGGTTTTAGAAAATAAAATTATGGATTGAATAATATATGAGGATATGCCTTTCGTACATGGGAATGTATACTATGAGACCATTTACAATTATTACAAAGTCTTAATTACCCCTAGCCATCAGATGTCAAGATGGTGGCTTGGAGTGACACAAAGTTTGGGCTTTTTTTTTTTAACTTTGAGTCTAGTCAATGATACACTCACAACCATCCGATTTCAAATCGGATAGATAGGAGTAATTAGGACCTCTTTGTACCAAAAGTAAACAGTCACTTTGAAGTCGGATAGATAGGAGTGATTAGGACTTCCTTGTACCAAAAATAAACAGTCACTTTGTATACCTTTTCTTTGTAAAAAAATGCCATAATTACCTAACAACTGCTTGGAATGCCATATAGAGTTTGAAATATTTCTTTGAGACTTCAAACAATCGAACCCATTCAATGGTACACTACAAATTGCTAGATTTCACATCCAATAAACTAGAATGTTTGTTTCCTCATACCAAAAGTAAATGGCTTTATTATATACATATTTTAATTTAAACACTTCCGTTAAGATTCATGTAACACGAACCCTTCTTAGGGCCATGGTAAAGCAGCAAAAAAGACCTCCCTCCATGACATTTATAAGGGATGCAAACTGCCTAAAATACAACCCAAGAGAGGCCAGTTCTTCAGCCCTATGAACCCGAGTATTTAACTATCCGCACCCCATGGCGCTCAATCAACCTAAATTGTCCATGGCTTATTTTCTCCCTAATCCCAATATCGATTCAAAGTCACCGATTGGAGTCCTATTTGCTTGCTTGTATTAAAATATCTTTGTGCCCATTTATGAAAATAAAAAGGAAAATATTAAATTTTTTGGCAAATATATAGTTAATTAAAACAAAAGATAAATGGTCTCCTTGTGGACAATTCCCTTTAGGAATATTAAAAAATTGAGCGAAGGGAATTTTTTACAAAATTTGTACTAGAGATTTAAGACTCAAAAACAATAGTTTTGGCCTCTTAAGGGGGACATGAGAACATATTCCTTACGTTAAGGGCTAGGGGCTAGGTGCCGCACCGACATTGCAGGAATCATGTGAAAGAGGGTTACGTCTTTGTTTAGAAAAAAATAAATAATGATAAAAATTACAGAAAAAAAAATTGATTAGAAATAAGAAGGGAACGAAAGAAAATTAAAAGGGAAATCAAAGAGAAAATAAAAGTAAAGCAGGAAAAGAATCGAGGAATGTATAGAAGCCCAAAATGATATTTATTCTAAAAATCAAGGGTTCCCAAGCATGAAAGAACCCTTGATTTTGCCATATGTAACCCTTCCAATACTCTTATAAACCACAACCGACCCTCTCACCATTGGGGAGAGAGCTTGACATAATTCACATTTAGCAATGAATACAATCCTCACCATCATAAGCATCCATTTTGTTGATGCTTAATTCCATCCACCAATTTATTATGTCCGTCAAATATCTACTCCTATTCAACTTACAATGGAAGACAAGAAGAAGCAAATGCTTCTTCAATCTGTGGTTAATTAACCCAAGGAACTTAGCCGAACATGCTCCCTCTAAAAAGAAAATGGCAAAGAGGGAAATGCCCACCCAGCTTTGAGAATTATTTCTCATCTCTTTTTTTCCTTTTTTTCTTTTTTTCTTTTTTTCTTTTTTTCTTTTTTTCTTTTTTTCTTTTTTTCTTTTTTTCTTTTTTCCTTTTTTTCTTTTTTTCTTTTTTTCTTTTTTTCTTTTTTTCTTTTTTTCTTTTTTCTTAGCCTTCTCTATTAATTTCTTCCCTTCTATTCTATTTTTCCTCCTTTTTAATCGTATTTTTCCTTCAATTTGCTAGAGAAACGACAATTGGGCTCCTCACTTTATGCATCCCATCACTCCACATATACCACCCAAAAGAATAACTCCCATTTTTCATGCTTCTTGGAACCCTTGGCCCAACCTTAAAAGTCAGTGAAAAGCTCTTCTTCTCTCCATCCCTTCTAAAATATAACTCCTTGGGCTCAATATCAACCAAAACTCCATTTGGTGATGCAAGGCTAAGACTGTATAATGCTTTCTTTGCACCAACATTCGTAACTGTCCTTGTAACTGTCTTTGTGCCCTTAAGCTTAGAGATTGTGACTGAAGCAAGGTTGAGGTCACTTGGGTTTGGTGGAGACTTAGGACAAGTGTAAGATCGGTCGATTTTGATTCCACTTTTGCAAAGGAAGACAAGATAGTCGATGTAAGAAGCGTCGTAGACAAGGCCCGGGTCTGCTGCCATGGCCGGATTAAGGTGGCCAGACCCATAGTTGAAGGGACCAGCTGGTGATCCGGATGCATCTTCTAACGGTTTGCCCATGTTGTTTGTCAAGCTTGCTGCAAGAGAGTGTGGCTTGAGGTTAGAGAGACATCTAATCATGGAAATGCCTGGAGGCAAGCAAGAACTTTAGTCGCAGGCATATTCCGCACATGCATCTGTGCACACGCACACACATAGGCATGCATATTTTCTTTATGGGTAAGGTCCCTATAGGGTTGCAATCTTAAATAATCAAAGGAGTGAAATTTTTAGGATTGGCCCAAAAATCTATTTTCAACTTTAATTATAAAATTTTAAATTTTAAAATGGTTTTTTTTCCATATAAGTACATCTCGATGTCGAGATGATTGATGAGATGATTTGCAACATCAAAATAGCCTTTTCCAATTGATTATTGAGTGCACCTTTATTGTGTCAATGTTATATAAACATTTTCTTTTTTTTTTTTTTTTTTTTTTGATACCTGTGGTCATTAGGGCCGACTTAATTACGGATGCAGACCACCTAGGGTGAATGGCTTTGAGGAGGGCCGCAACTCCGGCAACGTGAGGGCAGGACATGGACGTCCCAGATAACACATTGTACTTCACTCGCCTCTTGTCAGCCGCTAATTTTGTGGGTGATGATGCCTTGCTCCATGCAGCCAAAATATTTAGACCAGGTGCTGTTATGTCCGGCTGTAAAAGTGACGGACTTGCATTTTAGGAAAAAATAAATAAATAAAATAAAATCATAATACTCCTACTTTAGTGTTTTGAAATCTGACAAACTTGATTCTCTTGTTGTTGAAATCTGACAAACTTGATTCTCTGGTTGTTGACTACTTTATGATAATGTTTGTGATAAATTATGAATCTACTTTCTTCTTCTTCTTCTTCTTTTATTTTTATTTTTTATTTTTTTTTATTTTTTATTTTTAACAAAGTTCAAACGTTTAATTGAAAGACTAGAAAGAAATTACATCATCAGAAATAGAAAAGAAAGCAAGAGAAACACCGTCATTGGCTAACATCACTAGCCTCGCAATAGACATGGGAGAAAGAAACATATAAGGATGCAGAAGCGTCCATAATATGTAACCATAAATCTACGTTCCAATGTTAAGTTTTTATGGAAAAGATGAAAATCAGGTAAAGGCTTTTCGAAAAAAAATAAACCTCGCTTCAAAAGTCATCCAAAATTATACATTAGGGTTGTAAAACAAAAATAAGATTTTAAACACTAAATATAATGTATGTTGTAACACATTATCTAAATCATCTATTTTCAATTGTTCACAAATTCATGAGATTTATACAATTTTTAAAACTACAAATTTAACAATATGCGGTGGAAATATATTTTAGAACCATCTTAGGTATTTCTCATGCTTGACGTGTTTTTTCTCTAAAAGATTTCGAGGCGAGGCTTTACTTTTTCTCTACAAAGCCTAGGCCTTACAGAAACTGCATCTCTAGTTTATTAGCAAAATTTAAGATACAGAGTTTACAAAAAGTCAAGGATTTAAAAGCCTAGGACAAAAGTTTTTCTTCTTTTTTTTCTTTTCATTCATTCAAATTCAATATTTTATAATGAGGTCTTCCTAATTATTTTAGGAGGTAAAGATCTAAAGAGTTGGCTATTTGCCACTAATAAATGGCTATCTACAAAGAGACTATTTATTTTTTGTATATGGGGTCACAATCATTCCCACCCATATTTTGTCAAATTGGATGTGGCTTGAAGTGAAGCACAAAGTCCGAAAACTTTTTTTATAAATAACTTTGTGTCTATTCAATGACATTTTTACGATCATCTTTTATAAAAATTAAAGGACAAGTTTATTGTGGCATTTATGTACAAAAGATAAATAGTCCCTTTCTAAACAATACCTTTACATGCACAAAAAAAGAAAAATAAAAAAAGGAGGGTATGCTTTTAATATTTCTTCTCAAAAGAGGTTAGCTGTTATTACCTTGAGAATGTTGGGGTCGAGAACGTTAGGTCCGGTAGATGAGAACGCTGCCATAACGGGAGCCGGCTTGTAACCATTCACCGTCGTAGCAGGAATAATTTTAGCCGTCGGATTCTTGGAAGAATTCAAATAATGGAGGATGGAGGTTGCATCAGTTGAAATAAGTGCCGTTCCGGGTAAAACATGGGCATCGACCGAAATTTCGGCGCCATTTGTAGGGAGGTTTCCTAGAATAAGGGCAGCGCCACCGGCTCTTTTCACTTCGAAGCCCTTGCCCACCCTAGCGCCGTTACCCCTCAAGCAAAAGACTATTTTGCCCTCTACCTTTTTGGGGTCGAGAGAGTTTGGAAGGCATTGCCTATAAAATCAAAGGGGGTTAACCAAAAGTCCTTCAAATTTCAAATCATGGTAATGATTTTGATGTTAATGTTCAAAAAAACAAAATCATGGTAGTGATTTTCGAATATTTTTTTAACTTATTGATTGTTTAATAGGGAAGAAAGCAAGGTATCGTAAGGGCAGACAAGGAGCCAAACTTGGGTCCCTAGAGGCCCGGCATTGGATGGGATAGGGCTGAAGAGGCTTGGGCTTAGACCTAGTAGCCTAGAAGAAATTTTTAAAAATAGAAAACACAATAGGTAAAAAGGCCCGGACTAGGGAAGCCCGGCCTAGACCTGGTCTTCGGCCCACACATTGTGGCTCGGCCATAATTTTTTAGGGCCCGGATGACTGGTCCATATTATACACTCGAAATCAATGGGGGTATTTTGAAAATTTTCATAAATATATTTTCTAGTTTTAAGATCAAGGTTTTGGGCATCTTTTACCTTTTAAGCAAGGATATAGTTTATGTAAAGCCTAAGCTTTTATGAAAATAAAATAAAACCTCACCGCATATCATAGTGAAGTATTTTGGGTATCGAAAATATCTATGATGGCTCTAAAATCAATTTCTTATACTTGACTATCAAATTTGAAGCTCAAAAAATAGTACAGATATGTAAACACTTATTTTTAAGGTGAAATAAACAGTGTAGATAATGTGTTACAATATAAACTAGTTTTAAGGTTTAAAATCCTAACTTTCCATACAACCATAGTAGTTTTTTTTGGTAGGGCTGCAGCCCTATAAAAACATTTTCCTGTAAATAAAAATTGAATGAAAATGTGGCTTATGTGAAATTTCACCACCAAAAAAATCGGCTAATTTTCTACTCATCAGAAGGTGGTCGGCGTTACCATGACCACATTTCCCCATGGAGCACACAAAATAAACTGAATTATGGCAAAAGAATTCATAGTTTTGACTCCCTAGCATCCAAAAGGGACCAAACAAAACGATACTAAAAGCGATAATGAAGAAGAAAAAATAACAAAACGATACTAAAAACGATAATGAAGAAGAAAAAATAGAAAAGAGAATCAATGAGAACATGTGGGAAGCATTACCCTGCAGAGATGTTCTTTGGGGTGCCCGGAACAACAGCATTAGCTGCAAAGACAATGGGGTAGAACCTTTTTTTCAACTTGAATGAAGTTATGGTTTGGCCCTGAAATCAAATAACGTCAACAACATAATAATAAGTAGTTTTCATAAAGTTTTATATTGGTTGTCTACCTAACATTATCTAACATTTTTACCCAAGTATGAGACGGGTTAAGAGAAACTTTAAAGTCAACAACATAACATTTATATATATTAGGTTTCATTTTTGTCTTTCCCCAAGTCTTTGTTCAATATTTGATAAATGAATTGACCTTCGAGTGGTTGAAGGTGAGTTATTATTTAAGAATAATTCAAAATAAATTCTTTTAAGTTTGTTGACACACTTCTATCTATTTGCTTTCACATTTAATGGCTAAAAATGATTATGACATCTTTATACCAAAAATAAATGCCCTCATAATATACAATCCCAATTTCCAAATTTCCAATCCCAACTTAATGCCTCCAAAAACTAAAAAGACCCCATTTAACTTATGGGGAAAGTATACAACTTGTGTGTATGTATTCCACAGGGCATCTACCATTTATTCTCATTGATGAACGGTAGAGATCAACAGCACCATTGGGAATAGTTCCATCAAAAGCTCTTCTTAATCTCAGCCATGTATCCTTGAGAATATACGTTGGGTGCCATTGTGGTGTACTTTATGCCATATGTACAATATACCATACACCACTAGTATAGAAATACATTCTTATGGTGTGCTGGATACCATCACCCACCGGTATGTCTAACTGATGCTTGATGAATACATTTAGCAGCACAATAGCATGCTACATGCACCAGGCTTTTCAAAAATGCGTACCTTGACGACGACACCATTGCCAAGAACCACGGGAGATGGGAACAATCGATCGATACTACTTGCTGCTACAGTCAAGATCCAAGGTGCAAGGTTTGATGCGGTGGCTGGGGTCGGTCCCGAGTTCCCGGCACTGCAAGCGACTAACACATTCTTCTTCATCGCATGCAGAGCTCCGAGGGCAATTCCATCATTTGAGTACGTAGGTTGCTTCCCTGTGGTCCCAATTGAAATGCTCAGTATGTCGACCCCATCCGCCAAAGCATCGTCAATTGCAGCAAGCATATCTGCCTCAAAGCATGTGTTCTCGAGCGCAGGATCACCACCTGGTAGAGGCCAACAAACTTTGTACATTGCAACTCTAGCACGAGGGGCACCTCCACTAGCAGTCCCAAATGCAAAGCCACCCAGAGCAGAGACACCGTGCACAGATTGGCCGACTGCGGTGGAGGAGGTGTGTGTACCATGACCGTCATGATCACGAGGGGATCGGAACTCGGCGGTCGTGTTGAGGCGGCCATATTGGGCCTCATAGGCCTTTAAGTAGTATCTAGCCCCTATTAGCTTCCTGTAATGCAGTAAAATGTGAAGTTAGTGATTGAGATCCTCTTGAGACCACCAACACTATTACTTGGTGAACAACTGCCTTTAAAAGTAATAAATACGAATTATTTATTATATTAAACATGTTACCATATGATGAAACATTAATAGAAATTTTTAATGCAAGGTTGTAATTTTATACTATAAAAATAAGGTGTACCTAAAAATCCAATAGAAAACAATGTTTTGAAGTTGAAAACCTTCCAATTGTTCATCTCAACCTCCAGATGTCTGAATATAAAGAAAAAATGAATTTTCAAATCTTAAAAATAGTGTATCTTGTAACAAGTCTCTAGACCATTTTTTTTCATGATTTTCAAGTATTTATAGCTCTGCATAATCTGCACTATTTTCTAAATTTAAATTTCATAAGTAGTGTTGAACACAGATTTTCAAGTCTTGTAAGTTTTTTATGTAGGGAGAGAAAATCAGAAAATTGACAATAAAAAGAATGAAGGTTGAGAGAAAAATCCTGTCCCTCAAATGTCTGCAAGGGAATCCACCCCCAAAAGAATCTCTTTCAAGAGACCAATTTTTATTCAATTCATAGACTGATTTACAATGAAAGGAGATGTCCCTTTAAATAGACTAAATTAAGATAACTAATAAAAAAAACTTCTCCCTATACCTATCCGTATTTTCTCTCTCTCATATTCATGTGTCAAAATTGGGTTTTTAGATAGCCACCTTTTCCCTCTCATGTTTTACCCAAAAACAAAAACTCTCAAGTTGGTTATTATTGATAAAGATAAACTCTCTTCTAAATTTACCCTTATCCTAATTATATCTCTCAAACTAACCTAATTTATACAAGATAAACATAATATAAACTCTAAAGTCATGCCCTGTTATTTATCCATGCGCACGCCCTAAACGAAAGGATAATTATAATAATCTTAATAAATAACCCTAATAATTTCTCCTTATTACGCCATTGTCATTTCTTTCCTTCTTGGGTTCTGCGACCCTTCTTTGGCCCAGTTACAAAGGGGCATGGCTGCATCATTTCCCCCAGTTGAAAGGAACTCGACTCCAACAAGTTGACTTCAGTATATATGTGATATAAGTTTGGATCCACTCTTTTAAACTCTGGCTCAGAAATCCATGTGCTATCAGAGTATTGCATGTCCTTCCATTGGGCTAAAAATTGGCGATAGGAACCCTTTCAACTGTGAAAGCTTTCAGTCTTCAAAACTTGCTCAATTTCGTCCTCTTTCTTCCTTGGTAATTTCTTCATCATATCAACTACATCTTCTACGACTTCTAGATGGTCTCCATGAAATTCAAATAAGACAGCAATATTAAATATCAGGGAGATATCCAATGCCTTTGGTAATTTTATCTTTATATGCATTGTCCCCATATTGCTTCAAGATGCGGCAAGGACCCACTTTTTTGGACTTGAGTTTATTACAGGTTCCCAATGGAAACTTTTCCTTTCACAAATACATCATTACTAAGTCACCCTCCTTGAAAATCTTCTCTCTTTTATGCTCATTTGAGGCTTTTTGATACTTTGCAATGCCCTCCTCAATTTTCTTCTTGATTTGGGCTTGCAAATCTCGAATATGCTTAGCAAAAGCATTGGTATCATCACTTATCTTTCCTGACATGAGCAATGGCACTAGGTCCAACACATGATTAAACGTCCGCCCATTAACAATCTCAATGGTGATTTTCCTGTAGACCGATTTATTGAATTGTTGTAAGCAAACTCAACCTGAGGCAAAGCGAGGTCCCACTGAGATATGTTATCACCAACAATACTCCTCAAGAGGTTAGCAAGACTCTTATTCACTACTTCGGCCTGCCCATTTGTTTGATGATGATAGGCACTAGAAAATTGAAGTTTGGTTCCCATGTGCTTCCATAAAGTGAGCCAAAAATGACTTAAAAATTTTATATCCCGATCAGATGTAATAGACTTAGGAACACCATGTAGCCTTATAATATCTTTGAAAAAGAGATTCACGATATGTGTAGCATCCATAGTTCTTCTACAAGGAATAAAATATTTGAAAAATCGATCAACAACAACAAAAATAGAGTCTATACCTCGTGTGGCACGTGGAAGTCCAAGTACAAAGTCCATAGAAATATCAACCCATGGGGCATCTAGAACAAGAAGAGGAGTATAAAGACATGTATTTTGTGTGTGACCTTTAGATACTTGGTAAGGTCGACAACGGGTCACAAATTGATCAACATCTCGTCACATACGTGGCCAAAAATATTTTTCTCCAACCATAGTCATAGTTTTGTCCTTCGCAAAGTGTTCACGCAAGCCCCCACCATGAAGCTTCATGATTATCTTCTCCATTAAGGAACAATCAGGTATACATACCCACACACCTTTAAATAAACAATCGTCATGCATGAGATACTTACCCATAGAGTCTCGCCCATCAACACACCTTTCAAGGACTTTGCTAAAAATTGGATCAACTTTATATTGATCTTTTATCACTTCAAACCCCAACACTTCCATAGACAAAGTTCTAAGCAACCCTACCCTTCTACTTAAAGCATCAACTGTCTTATTTTTTGTTCCAGCCTTATGCTTTAATAGGAAGGTGTATTCTTGAAGGAAGGTCATCCACTTAGCATGTCGCGCATTCAACTTTTTTTGGGAACTCAAACACCTGAGTGCTTCATGATTTAAGTATTAGGCTTGCACCACTGCATATGAATCAGGTAGTGCCTCCAGTAGTGTAAGGCTTGCACCACTGCATAAAACTCGAGGTAATAAATCGAATACTTATTACATGCATCATTCAATTTCTCACTAAAGAAGGCCAATGGTCGTCCCTCTTGACTTAGAACTGCCCTTATGCCAACATTTGATGCATCAGTTTCAACCTCAAACACCTTAGAAAAATCTGGTAAGGCAAGTACTGATGCTTGCATCATCTTTTGTTTAATTAGAGTGAAGCTCTTTTCAGCAGCGGGACTCCATGAAAACTTTCCAGCCCTCATACAATCAGTCACTAATGCTATAAGAGTGCTGAAACTTCTGATAAATCGATGATAAAAGGTCGCTAGGCCATGAAAAGAACACACCTCAATGAGTGACTTTAACACCAGCCACTTAGCTATGGCTTTCACTTTTTCTGGATCCACCTTAATTCCCTAAGATGAAACAATATACCCCAGAAAGACGAAATTGTTTGTCATAAATGAGCATTTTTTCAAATTCACAATAAGTGATTCCTTCCTTAGCACATCAAAAACTTGTTCCAAGTGGTTAAGATGATCATGTGGGTTAGCGCTAAAAACCAAGATATCATCAAAATAAACCACAACATATTTGCCAATAAAAGAACGAAGTACCTCAATCATTAGGCTCATGAATATGATTGGTGCATTAGAAAGGCCAAATGACATCACAAGCCATTCCATCTCGAGTTTTGAATGCAGTTTTCCATTCATCTCCAGGACGAATCTGAATTTGATAGTACCCACTCCTTAAATCAATATTTGAGAAAACCTTGAATCCATTAAGCATATCTAACATATCATCGAGCCTAGGTATAAAAAATCGGTACTTGATTGTGATTTTGTTGATTACCCGACTGTCCAAACACATCCTCCATGACCCATCTTTTTTTGGAGTCAGTAATGCAGGGACCGCACATGGTGACATGCTTTCTCGAAGCAACCCCTTCTTAAGCAAAGCAACAGCTTGTCTGTGCAACTCCTCATGTTCCATGGGGCTCATTCGATAATGAGCCAAATTTGGTAGGCTAGATTTGGGCACCAAGTCAATGTGATGCTGAATATTTCTCATTGGAGGAATACCATCAGGTAATTCTTCAAGCATCAAATCTTTGTACATATCAAGTAGAGGTTCAAGAGACCTAAGAATTGTAATCGGTGCAGAATTTTCTTTTGCAACCAATTCATAAATCACATCCATATCCTTCCTGTCCCCTTTTAATTTTTGAGCATTAAGCAACTTTGAACCCTCCTCTTTAGTGGATTTGGGTGTAGGAAGTTGCTTCATAGGGCGGAGTATTATATTAATATCATCCTTAACAAAACAATAAGTGTTTAGCCTAGTTTTATACACCATATCATGATTATAAAGCCATGGTCTACCAAGTAATATGTGTCATGCATCCATAGGTGCTACATCACACCACACTTTATCTTTATAATTAGCACCAATGGAAAAAGATATTAAACAACGAGTAAGAACTGGTACCTCACCTCCTTTCTTGAACCATTGGATGTGATATGGACGTGGGTGCTTGTTCTTTTAATTGAAGTTTAGCCACCATCTCTTTAGACACAATATTTTCATTGCTCCTACCATCAATTAGTAATATGCATAACTTGCCTCTTGATGTGCAAATTGTTCGAAAAATATTATGTCGCAGCCACTTCTCATCCTCGTTAGGTATTAGGGTTGATAACATAATTCGCTGGACAACTAAGACTTCACCCTCTTCATCTCCATACAAATCATCAACTTCATCTTTGAAAGGCTCAATCCCTTCATGAGACTGGCTCGTCCCAATATCACCTTGACCTTCATAAGTGTATCATTCATCAACTTCTTCTTCATAATTTTCTTCAGCCAATCTAACTTTGACAAGGGGTTGACGTGAGGGGCAATTGAATGCCATATGTCCAAGCTGTTGGCACTTGAAACACTATTTGTGTATTATCATGAAGTGTTTTAGGTGCTCCCAACCCTCCCCCAACACCACATCTCCCCATATTAGGGTGTGGCCTAATTGGGAAATTTTGAGAGGTTTGGTTTCCATGCCCTATAGGTGGTCTCCTAAAGGTTAAAGCTTACTGCCCCTGTATTGAAGTAAAACCTCTAGTCATTAAGTTATTTCTCCCAAGACCCAGATTGACTATTTCCTCTGCTTTGAGGGCCAAAGTATAGGCATCAGACATCTTATAGACATCTTTGAAGGCCATTTCATTATGAATGCCTTGATTTAGCCCATTCAA